AAGTCATTCCGACGCGATTTGCAAAAGATTGATGATACATAGAGAAATTACAGTTTACCTATCGGAAAGGCAGCTAAACCGTAGGTGATTTAAACACAGCTGTTGCAATATTTATAGATACATGTCAGAAAGGGATCATATTCAAACATAGAAGATTGGTGACAATAAAATAAACATATTCACGGAAACAACAATTTTTGCAATGATTGTTAGAAAGGTTGTTACAAACCATAGATAGCTACATAAAGTCTATAATGGTACAAAATGAGTTATTAATTAAACAAAAGACAAAGAAGAGTTTTGACACAACTATTGGCGAATTGCTAACAAACTCAAGGAAAAAGACTTATTAACATAGCTAGAAGTGGAATGTTAAACTACTAGAAAGAAAAAAGGACACCGATACGACAACTAATTAATTACGTGACCATAACATCTGATCGCAGATTTGACCAGATAAGAAGTGAACTCAGGTAAAATTACACAATATAATATATCATGCAGAATTTACTTGACATTTTTGTAACTCAAATGAAAAAAAAAAATGACTGAATCCTTATGTACAATTTTTTTTTATCCCAAGTGTCAGACGGTACTTTTGGATAAGGATAATGTAATCGTGGCCGCTTGTTGCCAAAAGCGCACGGTTTGTTAAATTTTAAAGGAAAGCTTAGATTTCGATTAGCTAGCCTCCTAATGTGCATTTTTCTTTGCTATGTATATGTTAGGGGCAACTTGATTAACGGGGCAGTATTAATATGGACCGATCATTATGAATAATGACCAAGAGCGCCGGCCAAATTGATAAATTTATTACTTTGGCCGGCCCATATTAATAAAGCCCGATGGCCTGTAGTCCATTTAAAAAAAACAAGGTCTGAAATAGCTTGAAATTATCACTTTGACCGGGCAGTATGAATACATCCCTACTTCTAGGCGGCGGGGCGCGTTATGTTACTTACACGGTGCGCGAGCTTGTATAGGATTGCTTTGATTAGTTGAAATAGTTACGAAAAGTACAGACAGGTAATGTCACTATTGGGTATCGAATGCCCACTGATATATTTATCAGCTGTGTGCCAGTTGACAACTACAGCGTTTGTGTGTTTGGTGTCTTTTATGCCTTTTGTTGTTTTATCATACGATTGTCGAGGTATAATATACTAAAAATTGAAACAATCCAAAAATTAATCGTCCCAATGAAAAATGAAAGGGAACCAATTAAATATTACTGTTATATGGAAGAAACATTTGATATTATTCACGAAACTCACATTTCTATCGGGCATGGAGGTGGAAATAGGATGATGAAAGAACTCAAACTGAAGTACAAAAACATTACTAAAGAATTTGTGGCTATGTATTTGACTCTTTGTGAATCATGCCAAAAAAAATTAAGTGTACCAAAGAAAGGGCTGGTGGTTAAGCCTATATAAAGTAGTGAATCTAACTCACGATGCCAAGTCGACTTGATCGACATGCAAACACAAGCAGATGGTGGTTTTAAGTTCATCATGGTGTATCAAGACCATCTCACCGAGTTTGTGATTCTCAGATCACTAAAAACATAGCGAGCCGAAAAAGGCGCATATCATTTGTTGGATATCTTCATAATATTTGGAGCGCTATATATTTTACACAGTGAGAATGGCAGAGAAACCGTAAATAAAATTATTGTCGAACTATGCCAAAAGTGGGAAGAACTCAAAATTGTACATGGCAAATCCCGTCATATCCAATCTCAAAACTCAGTAGAAAGAGCAAATCAGGGTGTAGAAAAGATGTTTTTTTATATGGTTAGAGACAAATAAAACCACAAAATGATCGGAAGGGCTAAGATTCGTACAGTTCATGAAAAACAGAGCTTATCACTTCGGCATCGATCGCAGTTCTTACAAAGTTATGTTTGTCTCCAAACCCAAAGTAGGTTTAAAATCAGTCTTGCTATCATTTGCCGGAAATAGTAAGTGAAGAAGATCTTGAGACAATGTTAAAAGATGGTGATTCCGGTGAAGGTCAAAACATAATGTTGGACAGAGCGGATGATAATAATAGCATAGATAAAAACTTAGCCGTTGTTACTCATTCCATTTCTGTTACGATTGAACCTCAACCTCGTCCTGAACCGGAACAACCTTCTGCCGATACAATAAATGAAAACTCTCGACCAGACGATGAACAGGCTGTTTCTGCCGATATGATCAATGAACAATAAAATACTGATAATGAAAAGGCTGTATGTTTACTGAACGAAGTATCAAACAAAATTGGAGAGGCTCGTGACGCAGCTAAAGTATCACTTCAAAAGCAAGCTGAAAAAATGTTAGTGCATTCAAATGCAAAATTTCCTGTTGCAGAAATAGACCAAAGCGTTGGAATAAGGGTACCAAATGTAGATCGGGCCAAGACGGATAGTCGTAATATAATTACTATCATCATTTCTGTGGAAAAAGAAGACCTCTACAAACTAGGAACGAAACAAGGTATTTTAAAACAACTGTACTCTAGAAATTAATTTTACTGCGACAAACCCGTTATTTAGAATATATCATAACTCAGTTCTGATATAACATAGTAACATATACGCTGTAATACATTTACAACCAAATAGACAATCACAATGATTAATCACTCAACTTAAAATCACATTACATAACCCAATTGTACATTCAAAACCTTAACTACACTAAAAATCTGTATTCCCAATAAATCTTTAATTAGTAAATTCGGAATTAATAAAGGACGTGTGGAACATACACATATAACCATCATAGGACAATTTTCCTCATACGTCATGATTATACAAAAATTTCGTTTGATTATATAAAAATATCGTTGTTTTTAAATTAGATTTGCTGAGTTATCTTATTTTTAGATGTTTGAAAATAATTTTTTTTGTAGAATGGCCTAATAACATTTGTAGTTTGATAACTGATGAACAGAGAATTGAAAAGTTATATAATTTATTTAATATGTACCAATAAAATCATTTGAGAAAAAAAACAAGCCAATTACTTTAAAGTATTAATGGGGGAAATACGAATATTTTATATAAGAACTTTCATCGTACTTAGAAATTAAAAAATTCTTTCTATTTAATATTATTCTTTACCAATTTGGTTCACATCCAAGTAATTATATCATCGTTCGAATTACATAACATTTATAGTAATAAAAAACTGACTACCTTTTGAAATGAGGATTGATTTGTAAATAATGTTATAAAAAGCCACGATTATTTATACTCAACTTCAAAAAATATCGAAATGTAAGAAAAACTTGTCGGTTTTAAAAACAAAAATAGTGATAGTTCAGTAAATTAGTGGCTTTTCAATTTACATATAAATTGCCAGATTTAATTAACTTCTTTCCCAGCATTCAGAATAACAAACACAAAATTTAGTAACCCTTTGTTCTGCGTTTTAAAACAAACAGTCTTCAATTAAATTATTATACAATTATGTGCCCTACTACAATATTTTCAACCAACCATTTCCATTTATTTTGTTTTAATAAAGATTATTTTTATAATTAAAAGTGGCAGGAAAAATTAATGAAGTGAACAGGAAATAGAGCAAGAGGAGATGCTTTAGCGAGCGGATAAAATGTCTTAGGCGTTTTCTCGGGTCGTCGAAAGCAATCAGTCTCTTTCGCCTATTAAATACTGGCCTAGAGGGCGAAGCTCTTCGCGTTATCGAAATTATGAATTTCTCTACTAATTTACGTAGTAATTAAAGCTGTGGGGGAAGGCGTCGATGGCGCAGGCGCTTTTCTAGAAATGGATCCGGGATACATCGATTACGTGGGGTGAACGTATTGTTCCGGTTAGTGACATACGGACGATTTCTCCTGAACCACTTTTTTCAGTAAATATTTCACGTTCAACAGAATCCTTTTTCACTATTAATAATTTCTACAATGTACTTCCTATTAATCTTTTAGTTCTATTTAAATAATGGATTTAGATTTTGAATACTTAATGTTTTTTTTTTGATATGTTCCAGAGATCTATTTTACTTTATTTTAAAATTATTTGTAGGTAGATTCATGAGTATGTAGTAATAGGAAATATATTGTTTTTTGACTTATTATTAAATTGTAGTTATTAATTTTAAACCCTGTGACTTGTGGGAAATGCTGCCGTTGATTAATAAATCGTTTACTCGCCAATTTCTTAATTAGTTAGAAAAATTTCAATCTTAATTAATTTTCTTAAATTATGCTGTAAACACCACCTTAGAAAATTACAAAATACCATCTTAAAAATTCAATTTCTTGCCCTAGTGTATCAAATAGTATATAATAATATCAACTTTGTTTGCTCTAATCAATACAATGAATGTAAAATAGTTAACGCGATCAAGCTCAATAAAAATATTGTGTAAAATATGTATTTTTATACGATTACAGGAATGTACAAAAAGCGTATAAAAAGATAGTGTTGATAATTTATGAAAAACAGGACACACGTTGATAGCAAAGCGAATGTTTCGTTGCAAATATGTACACGAATTTTTAATATTATGTAAAATAATTTTTAGTTAGTACAAAAAATATAAAATCAAATAGCTTAGAAACAAATTTGTATCTCAAAAATCTTGTTATGAGAATTATGAAGCAATCTCGGTTCTTTAATGATTAGTAATCGAACATTGAAAGAAGAAATATTTATATTTAAAAACAATCGTGATATTTGCAACGGAACGTAATTACACATCATGTTTAATTAGTCTAAGTTTCAAGTTGGTGTTATTAAAGATTAAAACAATGTTTTTTACATAAACTGAGTTAAATAAATGCTAATTTAATAAAACTGATAACTGATATAAGGCATTATTTATAACCCCTTTATATTTTTCTTGAAATTATAAAAAAAGAAATTATCTACTATTTTATCCAAACAAAACCGATTTCAGATGAAATAAGAAATAATTAAGATTAATAATAAAATTAAAATTCATTTTTGTTTTAAAATTAATTAATATTTCACTAAACCCAGACACCCGTTTGAGTGTTAAAACTTTCGCCTCATCATAATTCATAAACATCTCTGCCATTTGATCGGTTTGCAGATCGTTTTGATTGACCATCCCTGCACCTTTGTGGACTACAATACATATTGTAACCTGGTATGATATGGACTCGGACGTCACCGGAAGGTCGAACCCCTTCCGGTCTCTGTCTCCTCGAAAATGTAACCGTCGTTTTACAACAACAGTAATGGAATAAATTGATGTAAGCCTCTCGAAAATGTCTGTTAGTCACGCAATATAAAATGCTGTTAATGCAAGATTTACTTATAGCTAACCAAGCTAAGTTGTAAAATAGTTTATTAGGTATGGATCGAACCGTTCCAATCGCCAAAACTATCCCGAATGGTAACCAAAAAATAACAAATAATAAAAAACTATAAATATTTGTTTGCATTAATGAATAATCCCAACCGAATGTGACGGGAGGTTTAAAACTAGGTCTGGATTTAGCCATCCGAACTTGGTAACTTGCTCTTACATAACAAATAAATGCTAAACTAATCGGACAAAAAACAAATAAAACCCCGATTGTTGCTTGATATGGTATCAAACCTTCGGTTTTCCTTGTGCAGTAATCATAGGAAACGTTTTTAGTAAAAAATTGAAGTCCAGATGCGATGGAGCAGATACCCCAAAAAACTAGGACTATTGTAGTTATCTTCAAGGGTGTTAACGATTCGTAGAAGTTAATCGAACAGCATAGTCTGGCATAGTTTTCGGCCGCTATAGCAGATAATGAAAGGACAGTAACCAGGAAACAAAGAACCGCTAGGAACCATTGGAACTTGCACACTCCTAGATCGTCGTTTAATCCCGACAGGATAACTATTGCAGAAGCTGGAACTACAAGTCCTGATACCAAAAGATCTGCCAGCGCTACGTTTACTATAAATGTGTTCCCTGAAACAATAAGAAAAATTTAAATATTATGATGAAAAGTAAAAATATTCAAGCAAAATTTAAGAAATTATTGATAAATTTTTTGTTTAATTTGGGTTCTGATGAATTTAAATTGACATTTTAAACCATCGACAAAGACTCGTATACGCGAAACGTATAAAAATAATATATTGTAATCAAGCAAAAATTCGATCTCGATATTTTGATGTATCTATAAATTTTCAGGGGCCCTAAAAAGACCCTAAAAATTCGATATGTAGTTATTACTGAAGATCGTAGATTTGTATCAACTTTTGGACTAAAATATGTCAACCGGAAATTGTACAATTAATATATGGCCCATATACAGATATATCAAAAGTAACGGATAAATTCGTTAAATCAATTAAAAACAGTTTATGGAAAAATCGCTAAGACGGATCTAAGGTTTTAAATTTTTTGTATGGTTAAATGGACCCCTCTGTATAATTAACTCTTGAAAAAGTTTACGAAAAAATATAACACTAGTTTACGTGAATAGTTTGTAAATATTGAAGGATATATTACTGAAAAAGTACTAAAATAAAAGAAAATTAACGTACAAAATATAAATAAACGAAGAAATGCTTTAAGACAATGATTTTTGATATAATTACACAAAATCAAACAATACCAGTTTTCAAAGTGAATTAACATGTAACTGAAAATAGAAAAAAAAACGCTTTTTATTTTTTAATTATTGTCGATGTCACTATTATAAAATTCACTTTCACTACTATCATTTAAGCTACATTTAATCATTTTTTAACTTTTGATGGCAGTTCTACTCTTCTTAGGCTGTGATGGTCGCAATCTGCTAATTAGTGGATGGGATGATACGAGTAGCAGGTGCATCATATCTTCGAGTGTCTGTTGCCGAGTGAATTTTCGCGAAAAGAAGTGTCTATATTGCTTTAAATCATTATTTCGTGATTCTTGTACCTCTTCGGACCAATGCCCGATAGATTTTTTACCAACCAACCAATTTTTTAGTTAGATCTGCCCCATGAAGTAATATTTTATGTAAACTTTGTGGCATATAATACCAAGGATACAAATTAATACAGATCCTTGCAGTATCTATACAATAAGATTTGAATAGTACCCTATTTACTTCGAAACCACAGGAAATGGTAATTAAAATGGTACTTATTCGTTTTATAAAATGTTCATTCACTTGCCAAACTGCAAAACGTCTGGCTGTATTGCCGTCATTGGTTGTCCCAAAACCTGGCAAAATTTTTCTTGTATTTCCTTCTTCCTTGTTTCTACTTTTCCCTTATCTTCTTTCCTGATTTTTCTTTTACATATCTCTAATCTGTATGCGATATATACAATGCACTCAAACGCTTTTGTTCACGCATAAAGGCTTGAAATTCCATATTCCAACTTATCTTCTTTTACCTATCACTCATCTTAATACGACATCTATATCATTCATTTGCCTCGGATAAGGTCCTCAAAGAAGACAGTTTTGACCGAGCGTATCAGCTTACCAGCTGCAAATTTTACCATCAATCATGGTTAAAGAAAATAAAGAATAACACGGTATCAGATTTGCTTGAAATTCTGTAGTCATTGCAGTTCATCCATTTGTTTTTTAATGTTTTCAATTTCATTTTTGACAAATTGCTTTGTTTCTTTATGAAAAATTATTTTTACTGGTCGACAGTATTTTGTTGATGAAGTAGATTTATTTTGCCAAATAACAAATTCCTGTTTATCTTTAAATACAGCTATGATTCGTAATAATACTATAAACATTGAAAACAAAAATGAGTCATCATTTTCTTCGTATTCAAAAATCTGTTTATAACAATTTCTTTTAGTTTGTCCTGCTGCACCATCACAACCCCACTTGAAATATACGTTAATTTTTCTAATAGTACTACCACTATTGGTAATTTTGGTACTTTCATGGGGATGTAAGAAGGAAACAGTGAAAAGTTATCAAAGTTATTAGTGGTCAGCGTTTACAATGTTGTCAGAAGCAATTTCCTCTACAACCTTACATGATAATTGTTGGGCCAACAATTGCCACAACAACCGACCACCATATTATTTTGGACAATAACATTCGTTGGCATTTTAAAAGCGGTAAAAAGGCGTTCGATATTTTGTTTAAAATATTTCACGCTTTAAATATATCTTATCCAGTACAATCAGAACATTTATATGTATTGTTACAAAAAAGGAGTATATAGAATTCACCTAAACGGAAATAAGGTACCTCCATACATACACGACGTTTTGTCAAAATTGTATAAATAATTTTATGTATTGTATAATACAGTTCCCATATAATGAAGTGTGTATATCGTGGTCACAGGTTTTTGTTAGTAGATAACTATAGATACTCATTTAGAGTTTATGCACAAGAATGCAGATTATTTTCAATGTCTTTATAATGAATGTTGTAGAGTTTATCATACAAAATTCTCTTTCAAACGCCATTACTTACAAAAACATTCGACTAAATCAAACAATTCTTCTAATACATCTNAAGCAATTTCCTCTACAACCTTACATGATAATTGTTGGGCCAACAATTGCCACAACAACCGACCACCATATTATTTTGGACAATAACATTCGTTGGCATTTTAAAAGCGGTAAAAAGGCGTTCGATATTTTGTTTAAAATATTTCACGCTTTAAATATATCTTATCCAGTACAATCAGAACATTTATATGTATTGTTACAAAAAAGGAGTATATAGAATTCACCTAAACGGAAATAAGGTACCTCCATACATACACGACGTTTTGTCAAAATTGTATAAATAATTTTATGTATTGTATAATACAGTTCCCATATAATGAAGTGTGTATATCGTGGTCACAGGTTTTTGTTAGTAGATAACTATAGATACTCATTTAGAGTTTATGCACAAGAATGCAGATTATTTTCAATGTCTTTATAATGAATGTTGTAGAGTTTATCATACAAAATTCTCTTTCAAACGCCATTACTTACAAAAACATTCGACTAAATCAAACAATTCTTCTAATACATCTACTAGTACTTCAGTTTTTAGTTCAAAAATAACAGCAAACTTATTAAATGGCAGAGATAATATAAATAACGTGAAAGGTGATGCCAAAAGTGATTTTCAAACAAAAGAACCGCTCAACGGAGAGCACAATATTGATTCCTTGTTTAAACATTTCAGCAAAGCCCATCAAAATGCTTTACAACTGTTTATATCCAAATTGTATGATGATTTGTCTTTGCCAAGAAGTAGTATTCAACGTATTATAGGTATGATTCATACATTGTATTTGACTATTTGCCCATTATTGATGTTTTTAAAAAATCATAAGTTGTTTGTGAAAATATTTTAACAAGTAACGATATTTGTTTCTTAGACAAGATGATTACACTAATTGAAAATCCGTTTTTAAATCTTGATACAGAATATGAAAGATTAAAATTTTTTGAAGATAGTCAATATTTTATTCGACCTACAGAATACATTTTAGATAGTTTTCCTGATACTAAGCGACTCAATGGAGAGAATTGCATGGTATTAAAAAATCGTAGCATTCAGCAGATTCCATTAAATACCCATTTAAAATATGTTTTAGAAATACCTAATGTATATGATACGATAGTTACTTATCAAAATGACTCACCTAGAAATTTTGATGAAAACAAAAGCCTTTTACAAAATGTAGTGCATGGCTCCGTATATCAAAATATTATAAAAAGTACCCACATAAACTTATTTTACCAATAGTCTTGTATTTTGATGACTCCCAACCGGGAAACCCTTTAGGAACTAAAGCCAGCATTTATAAAAAAGGAGCTGTGTACTATACTATTCCAACCATACCACCATCATTTATTAATAGACTTGATAATTTATTTTTGTCTTCAATTTTCTATAGCGATAGAGTAATAGAGTTTTATGTGGAAATGAGCGCACATTTGCATCTCTACTGCATGAAATAAAGGTGTTAGAAAGTGATGGTCTTGGCATTAATATTAAATAAATTCGAAAATTGTGTTACAACTGGTTTATTTTTAAGTTTAAGTTCAAGCTGACATGTTTCGGTCTTTTAAATGACCATCGTTGAAACCAACGTGGCTCCCGGTTATCCTGATACTATCCACAAAGACTTCTTCCACACACATCTGCTAGCAGTTACTCTATTTTATTGTATGTTGTTCTATATATGTCCTTTTTACGCTTCTTTTTTGATTTTTTTTTCAAAATTAAATAGTTGTAGATTAAGTATAGTAGTCAACTTGCGTATAATGGATGTTACACACTCAGATTACAACTTCTTCTTCGTGGGTAACAGCCGCCATTGTTGAATAATATACTATTATTAGTTGTAAGGGTCTATTTCTACATGATCATAGCTGGATGTAGGACTCTTTTTGGTTGCTATTACTCTTCCACGGTGGGATAATTGTCGTAATCAGTGGTTTGATGGGAAATTAGGCATTTGGCCATTTATAAAAGAACCACCCAAACATAGAAGTAAAAATCATCCAGCTAGGACTCTAGAGACAAAAGTCATTGAATCTGTGATCAAGACTGAATACAGAAGCATTATAGTGGATAAACTTCTGCCTGCAATTGAAGCTAAATGGCCTCGGTCTTATAGTGGTACCTATTTTTATTCAACAAGCCAACGCTAAACCGCAATTTGATAAGAACTATAAGAACTTGAATGAAATTGTTAGCGCGTTAAGTTTTGCAAATACTCCAATAAACGTAATATGTCAATGTCGTAACACTCCTGATACCAATGGACTAGATCTCGGTTTTTTCAATGCCATACAGATATTTCAGTACCAAACTAATGCTTTCAATATCGATCAACTTAATCATTCCGTCACTGACGCGAGTCGTGATACACTGATAAATGACGGCAACAATTTTATTATAAATTTAAATTTTCACATTGTTTTTAGAGCCTCTGAAGATGATTGTAATAAATCGAAACATGTAAGGCCAACATTTTTTAAAAATAAACATCAGTCTTAAGTAAATAAAAACAAGAATTTTATTTAAATTATAAATTTCCCCATTTAGGCAAGACAAACTGGTTCGACTAGAACAGTTAGCAGTTTGCCTTAAATGTGATAGGATCCTCGTCGAAGCGACTCGGGCAAAGATTACCGCTTAAATCACACTCCTACTATTATTAGGCTATTCTTGTTCTACATAATGCGCGGACTGGCACGTCACTTCAACAAAAAAAAGGACATTTTCTTTGAAGTGGCGAACCAGTACGCGCATCGTGTGGACCCAGCTTTATACAGGCTGTTTCAGGTTTTTGTAGCAGGACTTTAACAGTCGATAGATTTTTTAAAATTAACACAAAAACCTCATATAAACATAGGATAAACGCTTTGTTTTTGAGATACACGATGTTCAAATTAAATTTTTAAATTGATTTTTTTTTATATTGCTTTATTTTTTTATTATTTATATTTGTTATATTGTAGAGGGCGCTCTGTAACGTATTCTTTTCGGATCAAAATAACAATAACTTTTCTGACAGTATACTTTTTGGCTTTTTGAATAATATTTTTATTCTCTGTACTTTTTTAAACAAAAAGCGTGCTCTTATCAAAATGCACTAAAGTTGGGGTTTTCAAGCTTTTTATTATTCGATATAGACCAATTTTTAATACATAAAGATAGTTAAAATAATGTGTGCCATGAAAACAAACTAGAAAAAGTAAGGTCGGGTAAGGTGCGTCTTACCGACCTTACTACGCATTGTTAATGTAACAGCCACCAATCGAGATTTTTTAAATAATATATTGTCGACCGATGAATCGTGTTTCACAAGACGTAGTAAGTTATAAACTTTCATAATTTACATGTTTGGGTGCATGAAAATGCCCTCGCAATTCGGCCACGAAACTTCTAGCATGAATTTAGTGTCAACGTCCGGGTAGGTGTTTATAATTATCATCTTTTCCGACCTTACTTAGTTCTTCATCGCCTGCATACATAAAAATCTGTTCTTAATTTAAGTGTATATGTTACCGGCAATCTGTATAATGCGGTATTCTATACAATACCAAGGCAATTTATAAAATACCTAACGCGTTTAGGTAATATATGAAATATTATTAATTTTATACTTTGCCTAGGTATTCTATAAAATACCGAATGCGAAGCCGGCAATGTGTGTAAAAGGCGAGAACAGGGAAGGAGAAAGATATGGTAGAAAGCTATGGTTCTAAAGTGGTTTGCCCATTATGCTTAAAAAGCGCTGTAGCTGTAGAGAACCGTTCCAAAGATATTTAACAGAGCTAGCTCAGAAAATGAAAAGAAATCTGAAAAAAAATTTCCCCATGTGCCATTGGGTACCACTGTAAGAATCCCTGTTCCGGAAGTCGACAGAGGTCGTGGTAAAACCGCTGACAGACTTCTAGGGCAGCTAGCTAATACATCAAAAATTAAGATGAAAAGTCTTAATATACATGGGGTCGCAAATGCCTCCTGAACGAGATATAGCGGGTCAAAGTTTCTTTAAAATTAAACATTATCTGCAATAAAACGCCCTTTCTTAAAAATATTTTCAACTCTACTGCTAATTTTGTCAAACGGGCAGTATTTTCGTGTAAAGTGATCAATTATCTATCAATTGGTCTCTTACAAAACTTTGATTAGAGCAACAGTTTTTGATTGAATTAACAAATTTTCTACAAACGTGTTTTTCTTTGTAAGAGACCAATTGATAGATAATTGATCACTTTACACGCGTAGAGAGCAATGGCGTAGACAATATTTTTAAAAAAGTGCTTTTTATAGCAGATAATGTTTAATTTTAAAGAAACTTTGATCCGGTATATCTCGCCAACGAGGCATTTGCGACCCCATGTATATTAAGACTATTCATCTTAATTTTTCATGTATTATCTATTCTAGAAGTCTGTCAGCGGTTTTTTGAATCACCCGGTATATACTATATTCCATACATAATGGGCACCCTGTATGAACAAATATACCGCATATTCAGAAAAATATAGCTTATGTTTAACATTGAAGAATACAATAAGTTAGCTTCAAATAAACCATTTACATGAATTTAGTGCAGTTGCTATCCTTAATTCAAGAATATATATATAAGTCATATATTCGAATGTCATACAAGCTTATGCTCAGTCGAAATAACAGATATTCTCAAATGAAGGGTGTACTCTCTTCTAATGTAATATTTCCATAATTTGGTTTTAATAAAACAACTGACTTAATTTGCATAGTGAAAAGTTTAAATTTGAGAATTTATAATTCTTGTATCAAGTGTAATATTGAAATAATTTCAAATAAACGTTATATTTAAATAAAATAGATTTGTTTATTTAAATTAGGAGTAGATAAGGAATTATTTAACGCCTAAAATTTACAAAACTCAAATAAAATGTTTTATTAATAACAATAAGAAATATTGAACATCCATAAATAATATAGTGTTTATACATATTAAAATTCTATCATAACTTTAAAAAAATATTTAAACTAGAAATAAATTATTCATTCTTATTAAAAAAACTAAATACAGGTTATTCAAATGTAGCGTCCTAAACGAAAAGCCCATATGGAAAATGATTTTAAAGCAAAATGAAAAAAGTACTTAAATTTTTTTCCGTTCGACCTCCGTTTTCATTTTATTCGTTCCCAAAAATACTATTATTACAAACCTAAGATTTGGTAAAAATACATCGTAATACAAATGAAACTATGACAACCATTCGATTTGACTTTTTGAACGATTTTCTTGCTTGTCGGAACATTATTTCGTATATTAGGAGCAAATATCTCGAAAATAAAGGAGGATGAGAAAAAAATGTATTCTATCAATTCACTTTAAAATGACTTTTCCACAAGAGCTTTTCGTTTGGAACACTACTTTTGAATTAGCTTGTTTATACATACATTTTGTTGTCTTTTAATATGTGAACCACAGTAGGTGGATTTCTAACAATGTCTAATAATTTAAAACATGATATGAATGCTGTAAGTGAACAATGGACGCCTTATAATGATTACTGTAACTATCAGTACGTAATTTTTGTAATAAAAGTAAAATGGATGATTCGAGTTTACTTACTAGAATTTTATCAACTTTGTAAAATTCTGGCAAATCAATTTTGTTTTCATACAAAGTATTATTTTGTATCATAATCATAATATAAACCATTTATTTAGTACCAGGACGTGCAAACATAATTTTTAAGTTCAATATCAAAGTTGACTAAAAAATTAATAGTAGTAAAATCTATATCATATACTTTTCCATGTTCTACATCATTTAACCGCTGTTGACACATAAATCTGTAGCAACATTTAAGTTGGGCTTTCACTGCCAAAGAATACGGTACATTTTTCTTACAACGTAACTTTCTGGAATTAAATCATGGACAATAAATTTAAAATTTCGTACGAAACATAACATTTCAGCCGCTGAAAATATTTAATAACCTTTATTTATATCCTATATTTAATATCCTTGATTTGAATCCTCCCTTTGATCCCTGATTTGAATGTATTTATTATCCTTTGTCATGTGGAGGAATATTTTTTTCGTATCGTTCATAGGAAAAATATTGTACGCGTAAATTTAATAGATCAAGTGAAAACTATTTATCTTCAAGAAGTTTAGTTGGTATCAGTGCCATATCATATCTAAATACCCCTTCAAATAAATCATGCATTATATTACTATACAAATTATTATAAACATGAAAATTGTTCAATTGATGCCAAATGCATTTTTCTTTTATACCTAATTTTTGTTGTAAATGCACGTTATAATCTTGT